AATATAATGTTGAGTAAAAATGTGAAGACAGTGGACATTCTTGCCATGTTCCTGATCTCAGTTTCACCATTAAAATTGTTTCACCATTAAAATAATATTAGCTACGGGCTTTTTTATAGATTGCTGTTACTATATTGAGAAAGGTTCCGTCCACCACTATTTTATTGAGGGTTTTAATCATGAATAGGTGTCTGATCTTGTCAAAGGCTTTCTTTGCTTTGATTTATATGATCATATGATTTTAATCTTTCTTTGTGTTGATGTGATGTATTATCTTAATTTATTTGCATATATTGAACCCATTTGATTTCTGGGATGAATCCCACTTGATCACAGTGCATGCTTTTATTGATTTAGTTTGCTAAAAATTTTGTTTACTAAGATTTTTGCATTGGCATTCATCAAGAAAGTTGGTCTATGGCACTCAAAAGGAGAGAGAGGGAAATGCCCTGCCACAGAGGCAAGGTGGGATGGGGGCTGGGGGGGGGAGGGGATGCTGGGATCCGTGGTGGTGGGAAATGCGCACTGGTGGAGGGATGGGTGTTTAATCATTGTATAATCGAAACCCAAGCACAAAAATGTGTAAGTCTACAACTGTACCTCATGGTGCCTCACTATTAAAAAATAAATAAATAAAAAAAAATTTAAAAAAAAGAAAGTTGGTCTAAAATTTTCTCTTTTTTTGTAATATCCCTGTCAGCTTTGGGTATCATTATCTGTTGTAATGTTATCTTCATTGAAGGTGTTAAGAAGTATTCCTGCTTCTTTGATATTTTGGAAGAACATAAAGACAAATGGTAGTAAGTCTTCTCTTAAGGCTTGATAAATCTCACTCATAAACCCATTTGGACCAGGACTTTCATTCTTTTGGTGTTTCTTAGTTACTCTTTCAATTCCCTCAGATTTGATTGACCTGTTCAGGCTTTCTGTTTCATCCTCATTCAGTTCTGGGAGATAGCATGTTTCTAGAAATCTATCCATTTCTTCTTGGTTTTTCAGCTTAAGATAGTAGTAAGTTTTCATGATATCTTGAATTTCTGGGGGTTCTGTTGTAATTTCTCCCCTTTCATTTATGATCCAATCTATTTGAGAACTTTCTACTTTTTTTCCTCATTAGTCTAAACAGCAGTTTGTATATCTTGTTTATTCTTTCAAAAAACCAGGTCCTGGTTTCATTGAATCTTTGTATTACTTTCTTGGTTTCTGTATCATTTATTTCTGTGCTGGTTTTTATTATTTCTTTTTTTCAACTAGCCTTTTGGATTTATTTGTTCTTGGTTTCCCAGGAATTTAAGGTTTGTATTTAAGATTGGAGAGTCTATCTTTTTCTTCTCTGATTTTGCCATATTTCTATGAGTTTTCTCCTAAGTGTAACTTTTTCTGTGTCCCATTAAGAACTTGTTTTTTTTTTTCACTATCATTAGTCTCAGTGAACCTTTTTATTTCTTCTTCAATTTCCTCTTTGATCCAGCTGCTATTTAGCAGTATGATATTAAGTCCCCAAGTATTAAAATTTTTCCACATTTTCTTTTTACAATTAACTTCTATCTCCATGGCATTTGTGGTCTAATAGGATACTTGGTCCGGGATCTGGACGATCCCGGACGAGAACAGTGCAGTCTTCTGCCCCCGTGCCTGGGTGTTCCTTCCCGGGGCCCCTTGGAGGGGGAGCGGGTTGAGCTTTCCTCCCTGCCCCGACCAGGGCTCCAGCAGCCAAAGACCTCCAGGACCAGCCACCACCATGCTGAGACCACTCTCCGCACACATGAAGGTACTGGCAGAGGGACAAAGCCACGCGGGTTCCGGGGCCGAGACCTCCAAGCCTACTCGGATTGGAGTCGAGCATCTTCCACCCAGATCCTCCAAATTCCAGTAGGCGGGGGTCACACCCACCACCTGGCCCCTGGCGCCGTGTAATCCCATCAGCGGCCAAGACTCAGAGACTATAAAATCCAGATCCCGGACGAGAACAGTGCAGTCTTCTGCCCCCGCGCCTGGGTGTTCCTTCCCGGAGCCCCTTGGAGGGGAGAGGGTTGAGCTTTCCTCCCCGCCCCGACCAGGGCTCCGGCAGCCGAAGACCTCCAGGACCAGCCGCCACCATGCTGAGATTCGCGGCCGCACGACATCTTATCAGAACTTTTTTTAATGACATCTTATTGTCTCATTCCTACTTTGGACAAACTTGCAGGCTATCGAATGTTGCCTGCCCACAGGGCAGAGTCTGGCAAACTCCCCGTGGCGTACCAAATATGCCAAAATACCAGTAACAATGATGGTCTCATTCTCCTAAAGAGCCTTGAATATAATCTCAGGGCTAGGATGAAAGAGACGTTACTGGGGCCTGCTCGAGGCAATCGACGAATAACAGGATGATGAAATGAAATGAAATGAGGATACTTGGTATGATTCTTCTATCTGTGAATTTATATAAGTTAGACTTATGTCCTAAAATGTGATCTGTCCTGAAGAATGTTTCATGTGCAATAGAGAAGAATGTGTATTGAGGTTTTTGAGAATGAAAGACCCTGTTAAATTCATTTAGTTCCTCATGTAGGCTCTTTCAGGTTTATTATATTCTCTCTAGTGGATATATTTTTTGGTGACAGTGGGGTATTGAAGTCTCCCACTACTATTATGTTTCCATCCATGTGTTTCTCTAGGTTTGGAAGCAAAAACCTTACAAGCTGACCCAACATTTGGTACATATATATTGATTAAAGATAGTACTTTCTAGTCAATTGCTCATTTGATCAATAAATACTGTCTATTCCTGTCTCTAATTAATTTCCTTAAATCGAATGCTATTTGGTCTGATATAAATATGGTGGTCCCAGTTAATTCTTTCCCATTTGATTGTATAATTGTTTTCAATACTTTTACTCTGAGCCTGTAAAAAGTCGATGTTTCGAGATAATATTAATATAAATGGTTATATTGTCATTTTCCTGTGTAAGACTGTTGCTTCTACAATTGAGTAGTTAGCTCATGCAAATAGCATTTCAGCAGTTAATTCAGGGCTTGTTTGGTTATCATAAATGTTGCCAACTCTTGTTTGTCTGAGAATGTTTTTATCCCACTCTGCCATCTAGAGAATTTTGAAGGGTAGTGGGCTCAAGGCTGAAATTTTCTTGCATTCAGTAATTTGAATATGTCTTTCCATTCTTTTCCTTCCTATACCATTACATATGGGAGATCCATTGTGATTCTAATGTTATTTCACTTGTATTTATGTGTTTTCTTATCTCTTTCACAATTTCTTCCCCTTTCCCTTTTTTCTCACCTTCTGCTTTTCCTAAAATCCAGTAATCTTCTTGTCTTTGTTCATGAAGTACCTTACATTTTCTTCCATTCTTTTGTTTCTCTTTTCTTTTTCAACTTCCTTATCAATACTGGCTGCTGGCCTGCATTTTTTCTTCAAGTTCATCTAGATGGTTTTCCTCCTATGAGATTCTGCTACCGTGGCTTGCTAGTGTGTTCTTTAGGTCTTTCAGTTCCACATCTCTCATCCTCTGGGAAAGTCCTTCTTTGAGTTGACTGTATTTCTCTTCTAGTGATTGCTTAGTTTTTCTGGCAACTGCTTGCCTTGTTTCCGTTGCCAGTGCAGTGAATTCTGAGGTTAGGTCTTCACTGAGCCAGCTAAAGCATTTTGATGGGCATGGAGACTTGCCTGCGTTTCTGTCCCTATCTGCAATTGCAGCTGTATTCCTTAGTTTCCCCATTGTTCTTTGAGTTTCTTGGGTGTTAATTGTGGAGCTTTAGATTATCAGTTACTTGGAACTATTCTGTTGAGATATTTATACCAGACAGCTACTAATGATACCTTTCCCGTTATTTGCTGGTTATAACCTGTTCAGGTTATTTTCCTTAATACGAAGTGTTACTTGAATATGCCCAGAAAATTTTTGACTAGTTACTGGATTGAGTTAACTGAGGTTTAAGGCTGTTTACTGCCTGGGAAATAGGAGTTTCACCTGCCTCCAATGTAAGAAATGTATGTAGTAACATTTTACATGGACATACTTGCATCCATGCAGTTTTGGGTTTGGAGGATAGACTGACATAAGAGGGGACCAATGCCTGCCCTCGGAGCAGAATATGATGGGCTCAGACTGAAGGAGATGGTCCCCAGGCCTACTGGGGTTTTGGATGGGGAGGTACAAGTCCTAGTTGAGTGAATCTTAAAAGATCTCATCACAAGGAAAGACATAATTTTATGGAAACTAATATTAGTTTCCCCTTGGAGGGGAGCAGGTTGAGTTTTCCTTCCCGCCCCAACCAGGGCTCCGGCAGCAGAAGACCTCCAGAACCAGCCACCACCATGCTGAGACCACTCTCTGCACACATGAAGGTACTGGCAGAGGAACAAAGGCATACGGATCCCCGGGCTGAGATCTCCAAGCCTACTCGGATCGGGGCTGAGCATCCTCCACCCAGATCCCCCAAATTCCAGTAGGTGGGGGTCACACCCACCAACTGGCTCCCTGGCACCGTGTAATCCTATCAGCAGCCAAGACTCAGAGACTATAAAACCCAGCTCCTGATATCTTATTATCTCATTCCTACTTTGGACAAACTGTCAGGCTACCTGCCCACACAGCAGGGTCTGGCAAACTCTCCGTGTCATAACCAGTATGCTAAATACCAGTAACAATGATGTGTCTCATTCTCCTAAAGAGCCTTGAATATGGCACTTTCTTAAAAATCTCAGGGCTAGGATGAAGGAGACCTTACTGGAGCCTGCTCAAGGCAATCGACGAATAACAGGATGGTCGTGATTGTGAATATTAAGTAGACTTCTTGTAATAATTTAGGTAATGTGAATAATATATGAAAGTGTATATACATACATACAAATATAAAAATTGTATATGTAGTCCTGCAAATATTGAATCATTATGTTATGTATTGGTTTTGTCAGCTGTTTTTCAATATAAAAGCATAGCTATTTATTAATGAATTTAAATGATATTATTATAACAAAAGTTTGTTTTTTCCATTAGGCATTTTGTACGGTCTATAATTAAGAAAGGAGTAGTTCCAGGATCTGGTTTACCTGCCCATATCGAAATTGATGAAACTACAGCCTTTAGCCAGATGGACATAATTCAACTCAAAAAGCCTTCATCAATAGTAATTATATTACTTTTATTATTTACCCTAGTCTTAGCTAGCTATAAAACATTTTTCTTAAAATGTGTACAACATGCAGAATAAAATACATTAAAATTAATTTCTTCCGGTGACTTCACCAGTGTTTGAAAAAGAAATATTCTATTATAAGAGTTCCCCAGGTATTTCTTCTAGGTTGTGTTTCTTTGTCATTCAGTTATTGACTCCTCATGCCTCAACTTCACCAATTGGAGTATATGTCTAAATATATGACTTAGGTTAGTAGTTGTATACTTTTGAGTGAATTCCTGTTATAAGAAATGTTCATCCAGGGTACTTTCATTTAAAAACTTTATAATAGATCTCTTATTACATGCCATAATTCATTTCACTGGTGAAAAATATTTAATGCCTAACAAACCTATTTTTCATTTAGTCTCTCACAGTGTGTTGATGTCCATATCTATTGCTTCTTACTACTGAAACAATGGTGCAAAACTATTTTTTAATATTTTAGTGTTTTTTAAAAAATACAGTTGTAATCGAATCACTGTAAGATACACAGTTATAAACTTGTTCATGATTGAGTTTTAGTCATACAATGTTCCAACACCCATCCCTTCACCAGGGTTCATTTCTCAACTGCAATGTCCCCTGTTTCTCTCCTACCACCATGTCCAACTCCCAATTCCAGGCAGGCTTTTTTTTTCTCCTCCTCCTCCTCCTCCTCCTCCTCCTCCTCCTCCTCCTCCTCCTCTACTTCCTCCTCCTCCTCCTCCTCTTCCTCCTCTTCCTTTTTCCTTTCTTCTTTTTCCTTTCCTCTCTCTCCTTCCTTTTAAGCACGGAGTACACAACTACTGAATGTCTCTGTATACATGCGTAAGAATTTCATTTGTTCTAAGGTTATTTTTTGGTTTATTTGGGGGGCAAACTGAGCTGTGCTCAGGATTTACTCCTTGTTCATGGATCACTCCTGGAGGGGCTTAGAGGATGATACAGGGTGCCAGGATATTGAACATGGGTCAGCCTCATGTAAGGCAAAAGGCCTATCAAATATACTGTCTCTCCAGCTCTTTTGTCCCAAGATTTGTATGTACTATGAGTCTCTGTCAATTTTCTAAAACTCCAGCACACCATGAAAACAACTCTTCTCTTTATGTGTATTGGTTGAATACTGTTGACAGGAAGCAATAGGAAGACATATAGCTGTCTATGTTAATAGTATGAGAGCCCACAACTTCATTATTAGGTGATTTAATTTCTCTGAAATACAGTTTCTAGTTTCTGGATGTTTGGCTAGTTATAGGTAGTAGATTATCTGTAGGAGAGAGTATTTGATCACATGTTATGTAATAGTATACTTATGAACAGAACAGTAATTTCAAAGTAGTTATCAGCATAAATGATACTTTAAGATATTTATAACAACTATAACTGTCCTGTGGCATTGTCCTCTCCTTGTTCATCAATTTTCTTGAGCAGGCACCAGTAATGATTCCATTGTGAGACTTTTTGTTACTGTTTTTACATATCGAATACACCACACGCTCTCCCGTGTGGGCAGGATACTCTCGGTAGCTTGTCGGGGTCTCCAAGAGAGACAGAGGAATCCAATCTGGATAGGCCTCATGCAAAGCAAACACCCTACCTGCTGTGCTATCACTCCATCCCAACAACTATAATATAATGAATAAATTTTGATTTCCTTGATGGACAAAAGTCATTCTTACTGCTAGCAGCATTTTTCTTCATTGATATATATTTTTTTGAGACTTGTTGTTACTGTGTTTGGCATATTGAATACATCACGGGTAGCTTGCCAGGCTCTGCCGTGCAGGCGTGATAGTCTTGGTAGCTTGCCAGGCTCTCCGAGAGGGGCAGAGGAATCGAACCCGGCTAGGCCAGGCTGGCTGCATGCAAGGCAAACGCCCTACCACTGATTGATAGATCAATTATTAAAAATAGTCCTGAATTCAAAGACATGATTTTTTTAAACCATTCATTTTTATGGCTTCCTAAAATCTAGCCATAGACGCCATCAGTCACTAGATTAGAAAGTCCTTCTCTAGAACATAGATCTGGAAGTATAACTGATGGATCATAGAGAATGCAATTTAAATTTTGAATAAATTGCCAAGTTTGGGGCTTAAGTTTATTAATATTCTCACCTGTGTGCACTGGGTGAAAAACGTTTTTTTGTTCCTTGTTAGTGTGAATACTATTGACTAAAATTTTAAAAACTGACCCAAACCAGTGTAATAAGCATGAAAGATTATTTTAAATGGGCAATATGTTCATGGACTGGAGCGATAGCACAGTGGTAGGGCGTTTGCCTTGTTCACGGCTGGTCAGCCAAGCCGAGTTCGATTCCTCTGCCCCTCTCAGAGAGCCCGGCAAGCTACCGAGAGTATCTCACCCGCACGGCAAAGCCTGGCAAGCTACCACAATGTATTCAATAAGCCAAACACAGTAACAAGTCTCACAATGGAGATGTTACTGGGTCCGCTGGAGCAAATCTATGAACAATGGGAGGACAGTGCTACAGGACAGTGCTACAACATGTTCATATATTGAAAAATAATAATACAAGGCATTTGTTAAGAATGCATTTTCCTCTTAATGTACTCCTGTTTCCCTACTCCACCTGTCTAGGAGAGTTACTTTTTTTATTAGGAAATGAAGGATTTTATTTAAATGTCAAAAATAAAAGTCAAAAATAAGATTTTCATGCCAGAGAGATAGGAAGGAGGTAAGGGTCTTGCCTTGCATGTGATGAATCCAGATTCAATCATGGCAACAAAACTGGTCCCCTGAGCACAGTCAGGATCAATCTCTGTAACAAAACTAGACATCAGTTCTAAGAACAGCTGGATATGACCCTCCAAAACACCAACAGCGGGGCTGGAGTGATAGCACAGAGGGTAGGACGTTTGCCTTGCACGTGGCTGACCTGGGTTCGATTCCCAGCATCCCATATGGTTCCCTGAGCACCGCCAGGAGTCATCCCTGAGTGCAGAGCCAGGGTGAGTGCAGAGCCAGGAGTAACCCCCGTGCATCGCCAGGTGTGAACCAAAAATCAAAAAAAAAAAAAAAAAAAAAACAAGAATTGATAGGAAAAAACTTAGGCATCAGTTCTTTTATTTACTTTGTAATACAATTTATCACATATTATTTCAAATCTCCTGCTTACTGTAGCACCAAACAAGGCAAGGCAGAAGAAATCCAGTCCCAACAACTCTCTAAAAATCATATCTTAATAGATAATAAAAAGATGTCTCTCTAATTAAAGGACAAGGTCATTTGTAATGGAAGCTCAGAGTAGGTCATGAAAACAGAAGCCTAAAAATTAAAAAAAAGCTGGGATCTCCCCCAAAGGAATATATTTCCTTTATTCCTATGCTTCCTTTATTCTGGACTATTCTGCTCTGGAATTTTTTATGCAAGACTACAGGAGAAGTGATTGACCACTGCACCAAGCAGAAATGAAAAGGAGCAGCCAGAAAAAAATGTGTGATGTGGCAGATGCTGTATAAACCATAGTATAAATACTTTCAGTTTCTTTCTTTAAATAAATATAGCACTGCACTGTAGCACTGTCCTCCCATTGTTCATTGATTTGCTCGAGTGGGCACCAGTAACATCTCCATCATGAGACTTGTTGTTATTGTTTTTGGCATACCAATATGCCATGGGGAGCTTGCCAGCCTCTGCCGTGTGGGAAGAATACTCCTCGGTACCTTGCTGGGCTTTCTAAAAGAGATGGAGGAATCAAACCCGGGTCGGCCGTGTGCAAGGCAAACACACTACCTGCTGTGCTATCAGTACTACAAAAATACAATGCCACACACGTAAAATGTTTCACCAATTCCTCTTTTTCTATTCTGTGTACAGTTTAACAATGAAAAAGAATTGCTTTGACTGGCTAGATAGCAAAAGGAGCTAGCTTTGCATGCAGTTACCCCCAGTTTGATTCCCAGCACCACCTACGATCCCTGAGCACCACAAGAGGTGATCCCTGAGCACAAAGTCAGGAGTAATCCCTGAGCACTGCTGCTTGTGGCCCACTCATTCCCCTCCCCACCCCCACCCCCAATTGCTTAATCAGGGTCAAGGATATAGCTTAAAAGAGTGGAACATTGTATGCTTGAAAGTGAATCATGAATAACTTTGTAATTTTATGGTGACTAATTTTTTTTTTAAAAAAGAGTAGAACACATGCTTTGCATGGACGAAACCCAAAGTTCAATTGCGGAGCCAGTCTCCTGCCCCCCCCCAAGTTTCACTAGGTCTAGCTCTGGTGGCATCCCAGCACTGCCTGGCATAGTCAGAGTCAAACCTTCAGGCCTTTACACCTAGGATTGCTGTAAGTACCACCAACTATTGTCTGATGTTGTCTCTTAGCATTGAACAATTGCTAGGGAGGCCCCTAGAGAAATTTATTTAATAAATACTGGAGAGAGCATTTACTTTTCCCTAAAGAGTATCTTTTATTTTCAAAGGTCCTTCTTCCACTATCTGAATAAACCATAGTTTATTTCCCTCAACCTCTATAAATGATCTAAGATAGTTCGGAGGGGATATGTCACCAAACAGTGTACTCTCTAGTGAAGAGGTGAAGCTAATACATAGGATATATTATTAGAGGAATAAATAGACTTCAACATTTGTTAAAAAAGTGTTTTAAATTTAAATGATGGCAAGCCATAGTCTATTTTTTTTTAATTTTAGTTTTAGATCCACACCCAGTAGTGCTCAGTGCTTATTCTTGGGTCTGCGCTCAGGGATCACACCTGGAAGTGCTCAAGGATCACTCCAGGGATGTCGTGGATCAAACACAGGCTAGACTCATCATAATTTTAAGCAAGAGCCCACCACTGTGCCATTGCTCTGGCCTCAGCCTATTTCTTAACCTCCTAGTTTTAAATGTTATGGCTAAAACTTTTTTTCTTAATCTTTTAGTGTATATTTGCAGAAATCTATTCCTTTAGTGCTTAAAGGATGGTTGATTTTTTTTTAAAAAAAACTTGGTACATTAGATAACTGTGTAATGTTTTATTGATTTATGGTTTCTTAAGGCTCTCCTTTGCATTTTCAGGGTATTTTCACCTCACAAGTTATACTTGGAAAAGGTAAGTAATCTGATGATATATTTTCCGTGGATATCAGAGTACCAAAGGATGTCTGCTTCCTGACAGGTTTTAGCTCTTTTCTCTTAGCTCAACGTATCCCCTGAGAGTATTCTATAATCTTGATCCAGTCTGCTCTGTGTCAGAAAAAATCAGAAAATTTTGCTTCCTAAATTCAAGCTTAATTTAAATATTTAAAGGATTGGTAACGTAATTCAATAGGAGAGTGTCTGATTTGCATGTGGGAAGTTGTAATTTCAATCCCTGAACTAAAAGGAAAAGAAAGATTTCCTTGGTTGATGGCCCATGAGTAAACTTCATGTATTGTGATGCATGAACACTGTGGTCAGAGCATTGAAAATTTCTCAATACCTGAAAAAAAAAATAGAAAAAGTTTCAAATTTGAGTGTTACTTCACATAATTATGTATGGAATTTTAATTGAGAAAGGCTGTAAAAATATTATGGGTTTTCGAATCAGTAATGATGTGGAGCAATTAAGTGGCTTAAAGGAGAGGCCGACAAAATCTCAAGGCCGACGTAGGCTGCCACAACGAAGGAAGACAAAAATCATCGTCTGTACTTTCAATGCACGTACGATAGCATCAGATGCATCCATCGAGGACCTGATGGTACAAGCGCGAATGATCAAGTACGACATCATTGGTCTGACCGAGACAAGAAGGCACGAATCTCACCATGCCGTTTTCGACACTGGAGAAGAATTGTTCCTCGGAACATGCGATAAAAGAGGTGTTGGAGGCGTTGGTGTCCTTGTCAACACAAACTTGGCCAAGAGCATTGATTCATTCGAATGCCTAACAACCCTAATCGGACGTTTACATTTGAATAGATGTGACTCACTGCCTGCAGTTTCTATCTTCGTTGTCTACGCACCAACATATCATTATGATGAAAGAGAAATCGAGAAGTTCTACATGGAGCTAGAGAAGTTCTATAAAGAAGACCACACCTTCTACAAGATCATTGTGGGTGATTTTAATGCCAAGATAGGACCGAGAAAATCAGCTGAAGAACTTCACATCGGGACCCATGGCCTAGAATGGAACGAACAGGGTGAGAGACTGCCTGAGTTCCTCATGTCGACCAAGACCATTCATGGTAACTCACAGTTCCAGAAGGCAGAATCTAAACGATGGACATGGGAGTCTCCCGGTGGACGATTCCACAACGAAATAGACCACATCATATTCAATCGACGGTTTTGCCTGACTGATGTCTCTGTTGTCCCAAAATTTCGAACGGGATTGGACCACCGTCTCCTTTGTGCAAAATTCTACTTCACAGAGCGGGGAGAAAGGGCTGCAAAGTTCAAAAAGAGAACTCCGAGAATGACCACCAACTGGGAACTCTTTGGTACTATTGCGGCAACATGGGAAGATGCCATTGTTGACAACATTGACGAGGAATACGATCGACTTGTTCAGCACCTCCATGAATGTGCGAGGAACGCCAAGAGAGAGATAAGTAAAGTAAAGGCCCTCCCGTTGATCGTCGATTTGCTCGAGCGGACCCAGTAACGTCTCCATTGGAGACTTTGTTGTTACTGTTTCTGGCATATCGAATACTCTCGGTAGCTTGCCGGGCTCTCCGAGAGGGGCGGAGGAATCGAACTCAGGTCGGCCATGTTGGCCGCGTGTAAGGCGAACGCCCTACCCAGATAGCCACAAAAAATCGCCTATCTTCGAAAACTCTTGAGCTAATTCGCCAGCGGGGTTTGGCGCATGCCTCAGGCAACCTCAAGCTAACGTCCGAGCTCCCAAAGCAGTGCAGAGATGCGATCAAGGAAGACCTCAAAGAGAGAAGAGCAGAAGTACTGGTAGATGTGGCAGAAGCCGGGAAAAGTATTCGTAACGCCCGCCTTTCCTTCGCCAACTATAAGACCAAGATGACAGCCCTCCGACGTCCTGATGGATCCATCACATCCTCCAGAACAGCAATGGAGAAGATTATCCATGACTTCTACTCAAATCTCTTCGATAGCCATGTCTACTTGCCGACATACCAAATTCCACAGGATGGATATGTCGTTCCCAATGTTCTCCCTTCCTAAATCCGACACGCCATTTCGTCGGTAAAGAAACAAACAGCACCCGGCCCAGACAAGGTCAGATCTGAACACCTGAAGAACCTGCAGTCAGTACTCATCAATACACTGGCTCGGCTCTTCACTCGCTACCTGTCTGAATGCAAGGTTCTGTCCCAATGGAAAACCAGCAGGACCGTACTACTGTTCAAGAAGGGAGACATCCATGACATTGGCAACTATCGCCCAATCTGCATATTGTCTTTCATCTACAAGTTGTTCACTCGAGTCATCCTAAATAGGATTGGCAGAACACTAGATGAAGGACAACCATGCGAGCAAGCAGGGTTCCGCAAAGGATTCAGCACCATTGACCATATCCACACGATAACCAAGCTCATTGAGGTTTCTCGGGAGTTCAAGATGCCGCTCTGTTTAATGTTCATTAATTTAAAGAAGGCCTTTGATTCTGTTGAGATGGAAGCGGTCATTGAAGCCCTAGCCAATCAGGGCATTCAAGCCCAATACATCAGGATCCTCCGTGAGCTGTATTGCGGATTCACTACCAGGATCTCACCATTCTACAAAGAAGTGATCGTTGATGTCAAGAGAGGGGTGCGGCAGGGTGATACCATTTCACCGAAACTCTTCAGTGCCACCCTCGAGAACATCATGCGACGACTGGAATGGGAAGGAATGGGAGTGAAGATAGATGGTCGGCAACTACACCACCTCCGCTTTGCTGATGACATTGTTTTAATAACACCAAACATCAGCCAAGCGGCACAAATGCTGGCCGACTTTGGCCGGGAGTGTGGAAAGGTAGGACTACAGCTGAATCTTACGAAGGCAATGTTTATGAGAAACAGCCTTGTTCCTGACGCCCCATTCGCTTTCAATGGAACGACCATCTCCGAATGCAACAGCTATGTGTACCTAGGTCGAGAGGTCAACATGACAAATGACCTGGCACCCGAGCTGCTCAGGAGGAAGAGAGCGGCTTGGAACGCCTTCAAGAACATCAAAGAAATAGCTAAGAGGACGAAGAACCTCCGGCTCAGGGCATATCTCTTTGATTCCACTGTTCTTCCTGCATTAACATATGCCTCAGAGACCTGGGCCCTATGCAAACAAGATGAGAACGCTATTCAGGTCTCCCAAAGAAGAATAGAAAGAGTTATGCTTGGAATATCACGTTTCACTCAAATGAGAGAGAGAATCCGGAGTTCTGACATCCGTCGATGATCAAGAATCAGGGACGCTGTCTCATATGCCAAGGTGTCGAAAATCAGATGGGCTGGTCACGTAATGAGATTTAAAGACGACCGCTGGACTAGAGCTGTTACCGACTGGATTCCACGGGGATGTCAAAAGACCGCGTGGCCGCCCACCTTCCAGATGGTCAGACTTCTTCGTCAAGATCATGAATGATCGGTTTGAGGCCCTTCATGTTCCCAGAGCGAACAGATGCCATTGGGCTACACTAGCACGCGACAGGGACAAATGGAGATGTTACTGGTGCCCGCTCGAGCAAATCGATGACTAACAGGAAGTTAAGTGAGTGATTAAGTGAACTGAGATACATTTAACCCATTTCTCTCCTGGTATCTTGAGTCATTCCTAATTATATTGACGTTTATGTTTATATACCTGATAAGGTTTTTTTGCTGGTTTTTTTTTTTTTTTTGCTTTTTGGGTCACACCCAGCATGCACAGGGATTACTCTTGGCTCATGCACAGGAATGACTCCTGGCAGTGCTCAGGGGACCATATGGGATGCTGGGAATCGAACCCGAGTAAGCTGCATGCAAGCAAACGCCCTACCCACTGTGTTATCATACCAGTCTCCAGATAGCAGGTTTTAATGGCAAATCCAGATCTATATTTCTCACTGAGGAGCTATATGACCCCCTCTGTGACCCAACGATATTCCAAGGGGAAAGCAGATGAAAATCACTTAAATGGGAAAAGGAGGATGGTATGAGATGGTGATGATGAGATGATGAATGAACCCAACTGAAGGGCATAAGAAGCAAGGGCATAAGAAGTGGGTCACAGTGGGAAAAGCTTGAAAACTACGGTTCTATTTTATTTCTCTTATAACTTAATGATGACTCAGAATTTGTGCTCACATTTATGAAAGTGATTTTGAAATTTCTAAGTACACTGTAACTCATATAAGTTACAATTAGATTCTCCTGGGGCTAGAGCGATAGCACAGCAGTAGGGTGTTTGCCTTGTGTGCGACGGGCTCGGTTGAGCCAGGTTTGATTTCTCCGCCCTTCTTGGAGAGCCTGGTAAGCTACTAAGAGTATCTCGCCAGCTCGGCAAAGCCTGACAAGCTACCTGTGATGTATTCAATATGGCAAACACAGTAACAATAAGTCTCAAAATGGAGACGTTACTGGGCCCGCTCGAGCAAATTGATGAACAACTGAAGGACAGTACTAAGTGCTAGATTCTCCTGAGAGTATGGTGTTTGTCTGTATGGAGCTCCAGCATTTGAAGCTCAATAAATATTTTCACAAAAGTAATCTGTGACATGAAGACTCTTATTTCTAATTCTCCATATCTTAATAGCATGACTTAATTAGGTGTGTTTGATATGTTTGTCTTCTCTGACAGAGGAACAAGTGGACTATGGTGTGAGTGAGACTACCAATCTAAATGATGCAGTTGGCTTGGAAAGAGAATTAATTAGCCAGACAACAGCAACACAGGAGAAATCTCAGGAAGATCTTGTAGCAGTAAATGCGACTATTTCTAAAGAAATATGGTTAGATTTTGAAGATTTGGGCATATGCTTTCAGTAAGTATGCATTGAGAATACGTTATTGTAGTTGTAAAAACTAATTTAGCAATTATTTGAGTGTAAAACCAATACTAATCTGGTATAGGTATAATCTCAAACAAAAGTTTAAGAAATAAAAGTCCCTAAGAAAGATGAACATATTGTCTGCATAGAATATTAATAGTCGCAATAATCTCAGCTTATATTCAGTTTCTCACCAAATATCTATTTGTTAATTAGGATGAAGACAGTTTACTCAGTGGGAGAGTTCATTTTATCCCTTTACAGCAAATCCTTTGAGTTGATTTTAACTTTTATCAGTGTCTAATTAAAAATATGATTCTATGCTATTCAAAATATGATGAATCGACAACATAGATGTTGTAAAAGATTATATCCATAAATTAATTAATACCATCATCTCAGATTTATTTACCATGAAACTGTCTTGTTCAGAACATTTAAGATATACTCTCTTAGGGATATAAAGTAGAGTTGTGTCAAATATAAACACCATGTTACACATGATACCCCCAGACCTTATTCATCTTATAATTGTAAGATTATGCTTGTCTCCAACCTATTTCCATTTCTCCTATGACCCAGACTTTGATAACCACTGTTATGCTCTCTGGTCATTATTATTTTTTGTGGGGGGGGGCAGAGTGGGCTTTAAAGCAGGACTCAGGAGGCTTGATGCGCCTCTTCCCAGTCATCCTCAGCCAACTGGGCCAATAGTTCAACACAAGGACCCAAGGTATGGTGCTGTTTGTGTCCTACAGTGCCACAGAATACTTGGGTAACATCAGAGTGCTAAGAGATCTGGGGGCCACTTAGCTTGTGTTATGGGTATACATGGTGGTAGTGGCAGTAGTGGTAGTTGGACTTGGGGACCTTGTGGTGCTGAGTATTGAACTGGGATAGTCCACACATCCCTTATACTGTCTCTTTTATTGACATTTTAGACACCGTGAGTTACAAATTTATTTATGTTTGGGTCTCAGGATTACAGGGTTTCAACACCAATCCATTCATTCACCAGTGTTCACTTCCCTCTACCAATCCCCACCACCCATATTTTTCCTTCCTGCCCACCATCCCCCCACCCCCCACCAGTCTTCCACTATGAAAGGTCCTTTTTATAAAAAATCACTTTTGGCGCTGGATTGGAGAGATAGCACAGAGGGCAGGGCATTTGCCTTGCATGCAGCCAACATGGTCGACCCGAGTTCGATTCCCCCGCCCCTCTCAGAGAGCCTGGCAAACTACCGAGAGTATCTCGCCCGTATGGCAAAGCCTGGCAAGCTCCCGGTGACGTATTCAGTATGCCAAACAAAGTAACAACAAAGTCTCACAATGGAGACATTACTGGGTTCACTTGAGAAAATTGATGAACAACCGGACGACAGTGACTTTTGACACTGTGGTTTACTGTTACGGATAGGGTTTCATGCATTGCACTTTGATTACACTTTACCACCTTTCAGTGCCCCCTCCTCTTCCTGATGTTCTTCCTTCACCACAGTTGTAATCCCTTTCTTGTTCTATTCTTCCACCCCTACTCTAAGTGGCATGCTTCCTGCTGAAGAGCTGAAGACCAACTCTCATGTTCTTTGTTTCCTTCATTGCTTTTGTGCATTCATTATTCCACCACCATGCTTTCTTCTACCCTGCACATGAGAAAGGTTATGCTGTAACATTGTCTCTCCCTCTGACTGTCTTTATTCAGTGTGATATTCCCCAGACCCATTCACGTAGCAGCACATTGCATGATTTTTATATTTTCACACAGGGGGGTAGGGCATTTGCCTTACATGTGGCTGACCCAGGTTCAATTCCTCCGTCCCTCTCAGAGAGCCTGACAAGCTACTGAGAGTATCCCATCCGCATGGCAGAGCCTGGCAAGCTCCCCATGGCAGTATTTGATATGCCAAAAACAGTAGCAAGTCTCACAATGGAGACGTTACTGGTGCCCACTCGAGCAAATTGATGGACAACGGGAGGACAGTGCTACAGTGCTATGAATAAAAAGAATAGCAAACAGTATTCTTTTGTGTTTATGTATACCATAGTTTCTTTATTGATTCATCTATTCTTGGACACTTGGGTGGTTCCCAGAATCTGGCTATTGTGGATAGTGCTACAAGAAACATTGGGGTGAAAATATCTTTTCTCCTTTTTGTTTTTGGGTCTTTGGGATATACTCCAAGAAGTGGAATTGCTGGATAAAATGGGAGCTCAATTCATAGTAAAGGTAAAGGTAAAGGTAAAGGCCCTCCCGTTGATCGTCGATTTGCTCGAGCGGGCCCAGTAACGTCTCCATTAGAGACTTTGTTGTTACTGTGTCTGGCATATCGAATACTCTCGGTAGCTTGCCGGGCTCTCCGAGAGGGGCGGAGGAATCGAACTCGGGTCAGCCATGTTGGCCGCTTGTAAGGCGAACGCCCTACCCGCTGTGCTATCGCTCCAGCCCTTAAGTAAAGGCCCTCCCGTTGATCATCGATTTGCTCGAGCTGGCCCAGTAACGTCTCCATTGGAGACTTTGTTGTTACTGTGTCTGGCATATTGAATACTCTCGTAGCTTGCCGGGCTCTCGGAGAGGGGCGGAGGAATCGAACTCCGGTCGGCCATGTTGGCTGCGTGCAAGGCAAACGCCCTCCCCGATGTGTTATTGCTCCAGCACATATACTAAAATTGGAACGATACGGAGAAGATTAGCATGGCCCCTGCGCAAGGATGACACGCAAATTCATAGTACTTTTAGAAATATTTTTCAGAAAGGCTGGCCTAGTAGACATGACATTCACACCTGCAATGAATAATGGTCCTTTATCCACTGCCACGTGTCTCACACCAACATTTATTTTTCTTGTTTAATTTTCATTTGTCATTACTTTGTCTTGCCTATAGTTATTTGGCTCTACAGAGCTTAGTATGTAGTACTAGTCTATTACATGCTATGTTAATAACCTATTATAAATGATGCTTTTTCAGGCATATCTACATTTTCCATAAGCCGCATTCATATTACATTAGCACCCAAAAATCGGAATTCAAGGTAAGTTTATTATGATCTCTTCTCTTTCCTTTCTTATACTTTAATGTTGTTATTAGCTAGTGAAAACCCTTTACATTTATCAAATATTTCTAGACATACAAGATGGTTACATTAAAAAATTCTTAGGCTCTCCTATTCAAAAATAGTCCAAGCTTGGCCAAGTAAAACAAGATTACTATATGTGTTCCTCATATTTCTCTGAATATTTTCAGGTGTGGGTGTGGGGCAGCAGCCCAAGACAGGAGGCAGATTCTGGCAGTGTTATTCCTGGCTCTGTATTCAGGAGTGAACGCTAGTGGTCCCGAAGGACCAGATACAGTGCTAGGGATTTGATTGGAGTTTGACCAAATATAAGGAGCTGTCCTCCCGTTGTTCATGGATTTGCTCGAGCGGTCCTAGTAACATCTCCATTGTGAGACTTCTTGTTACTGTGTTTGGCATATTGAATACTCTCGGTAGCTTTCCAGGCTCTCTGAGAGGGGCGGAGGAATCGAACCTGGCTCGGCCAGGCTGGCTGTGTGCAAGGCAGACACCCTGCCGCTGTGCTATCGCTCCAGCCCAAATGTAAGTCAAGTATCTTACCTCCGGGACTATCTTTCCAGCCCCCTGAACAGTTTATCGGACGTGACTCTTTCATGGAAGCAAACACTATTTCTGGAGGTTACTGGAATCAAAACTTGAAATAGAATGGTGTTTTGACATTAGAACATCATATTTTTAGTGGCTGCAGACCAAGTTGCAGGTATGGGGTCCAAGAGTTCTCTGAACTCAGACAATCCATTGTTGTTGGGTTGGTGCAGTGATAGGAGGCTCTCAGAGCTGTCTCCTGCTGGCATTAGGGCAAAGTTCCATGTATCATTCGACCTCTTGGACCACACTGCCCCTGCCTCTAGTTCTCAGATTCTGCAAAAATGCCCTTGGAGGTTTATACCCTGAGCTGACAAATAGGAGATCCTTCATAGTTTTAGACATGAAACAACTTTCTATATCACTGACATGCTATGGGAAATGGGAACCAGAAGGGGGTAGGGGAGGACTCATCAAATGGAAACAGCTAGAAATTATTGGGGGAGTCCATCATTTAAAGCCACAAACCCAGCAATTCAAGAAATCTTGTCTTACTTGATTCAAGATAGCAAAGTTTCATTTTTCACAGCTTTAGACACTTTGCTTTCAAATTATAACTGGTTATCAAATACTAGGTTAAAATTATCTGAAAATTCCTCTCTGGAAAGAAAGATGGCGGCCGCACGGGAGCCTTGTGGAAAGCGGGTTTGAGCCGGGCTCGGGGAAGCGGCGGGGACCTCATGGGAAGGGGGGCTTTGTGGGCCGTCCCCCACGCCCCACCGAGGTCGCCAGCTGCCCCCCACGAGCGGCTCTCCGGCACGGCCACGGCCCCGGAGGCACAAGGACTTAGCACAGAGAACCAGCCGCTTGGAGCAGAAAAGCAAATGGACTTGTGTTGATCCGCGCCACCAAGCCTGCCCGGAGGGGGAAGGGCGTTGACCGGCCCGCCCGCTCCTCTCTGGAAAGAAAGATGGCGGCCGCACGGGAGCCTTGTGGAAAGCGGGTTTGAGCCGGGCTCGGGGAAGCGGCGGGGACCTCATGGGAAGGGGGGCTTTGTGGGCCGTCCCCCACGCCCCACCGAGGTCGCCAGCTGCCCCCCACGAGCGGCTCTCCGGCACGGCCACGACTCCAGGGCACAGAAATCAATCTCTTAACTAGCTAACTTTTAATAGAAATTCTTCCAGGGTCAATAAGTAAAATAGCAGAAATTCAAAACCGCGCGGCCGCGATAGCGGCCGCGCGACATCATTTTATTCTTAAACCAAGTTTTAGAAAGCAAATCATTTCACAACGCTGTTTCAGCATGTCTGATTGGGGGGGGGTGGGTCGTAAACTCTAGACGATAGTTGTGCATCTTCTATCGAAATAATCTATCTGGTCAAAGTAGATAGAGTGTTGACTGGAACTCATCTGCCTCATAGGAATTGGGAGGGGTGGGAGGTGGGGGTCTATTGGGGTTCGGGGTTAAGAATGAGTGTTGGTGGGGGGAGATGTGTTCGGTATCTGCATGACTGGGACCTGAGCCCGAGGGCTCTGTGGCTTTTCCCACGGTGATTCAATAAATAAATAAATTATAAAAAAAAAATTATCTGAAAATTATCTGAAATTAAAATTATTATTTAAAGTAAACCAAAAATTAAGTTCATTAAAGACAGTACATGCCTTCCTCTCAAATTTATGCTGTTGCACTGAGAATTTGAAAGACAATAATAGGGCAATAGTGGAGAGCACTGATATTGGAGTCAGGTAGGTAAATATATATGCTGTGAAGAACTACAAATAGAAAGGCTGCTTTTTGCTCTCCATTGCTTGAAGATTATTGTGACCTTTGGGAGATTATTTTCTCTGTGTCTGTGTCTCTGTCCATAATGTATGCATTAAGAATATTCATACAAAATGCAGTCGTATTGCACTCATTTATGGAATATAAAGTAACATAAAGGAGACTAACACCTAAGGATAGTAGAAATAAGGGCCAGGAGGATAATTCCATGGATTGGAAGCCAGTCTATGTGCTGGAGTGTAAAACCAGATGTGATGAAGAAGGGACCACTAAGTAAATGCTGGTTGAAGGGCTCATTCAGGATGGAAGATGTGTGCTGAAAGTAGGCTATGGACCAAACATGATGGCCACTTAGTACCTTTACTGCAAACCATAACACAAGAGAGAGAGAAAGAAAGAGAGAGAGAGTAAGAAGGAATGTGTCTGCCACAGAGGCCAGGGTTGGGAAGATGTGGGGGTGGTAGGAGGGATACTGGAAACATTGGTGGTGGAAAATGGGCACTGCTTTAGGGATGGATACTCGAACACTGTATGACTGAAATGTAATAATGAAAGTTTGTAAGTCTGTTAAGAAAGTAATAAGAAAAGGTAAAGGCCCTCCCGTTGATCGTCGATTTGCTCGAGCGGGCCCAGTAACGTCTCCATTGGAGACTTAGTTGTTACTGTGTCTGGCATATCGAATACTCTCGGTAGCTTGCCGGGCTCTCCGAGAGGGGCGGAGGAATCGAACTCGGGTCAGCCATGTTGGCCGCTTGTAAGGCGAACGCCCTACCCGCTGTGCTATCGCAAATAAAATTCAGTCATATAAGATGTACGTCAAACAAGGTTTTCATCCTTGGCACCCCATATGATTCCCCAAGCCCACCAGGAGCGATCCCTGTACTCAGAGCCAGGAGTAAACCATAAATCTTGCAGGGTATGCCTATTCTCCTAGCCCTTGTAAAAGAAAAGATGCATGACACCCTCCTGAGGTCCTTTTAGAGGAGTTTGGTTTTGTTCAGTCCTTTTTGGTTTCTCCTAAACAAAAATCTATATGAAGGCATTAGCATGCAATGGCTAGATTACTGGAAATGTGAAAAAAAGGAATAAAGGGTTTGTATTACATGTTCCCCTATAAAATGCTAATAGGCATTTTCATTCTCTGCTGGTTACCCCAGGATGATGCCTCTACTACACAAGATCTGTTCTATGAACACTTCTCATTCTTGGGTCTATTGTCTCTTCTCCCTGTATGGACAAGCATAATTCTCTTCTGTGTTCTGGGAGAAGAGCTTTGAGCCCTCTTTAAATGGAGCCAATCCTGTTCATTCCTGCAGACTTATCTTCCATAGACTAGTGCTAACCCCTACTGATGAAGTTCTTCTCTCATCAGTCTGTGAAATACATACTGTGCTCCCAGTAAGAGCATGAGATAGTAATTTCTCTCTAAATCTCTAGCATTTTTATTTATTTTTCCTTTTTAGACATTTTTTATTAGATGTTCATGTTTTTACCCATTACGCTTGAGTACAGCTGCTTTCTTGTAGCCATCATATAAACCAAAGGCAATGTCCCGGTTGGTGGTTGTCCAGGAAGCCCTTAAATCTACTAAGTGAAGCTGGTGCGTATGAAAGGCAGGATCTCCAACTCGAGTAGAGAGATCCTCTTCAGCTGTGCGATTGCTATGCCGTTGGTAGGTGAGGGAGGACAGGCTCAGTAGGTGGGTCTTTGTTACCAAGAGATCAAGACAGTGATCAGCGTTCTCTTCGGTAGGTGAGGCCATCAGGTGGACAGTCACCTCACTTAGGTCACTAACCATCTGCGTTATACTCCAGTCAGAGATGAGGCGCCGCATCACTGTGCCTGCTTGAGGTATAAGCCACTGAGTTCCCCGAGTGAAGACATGCCCCTGACTGCACTCAATCTGGATGCCCCGTTGCTGAGCAAATGAGGCCCAATAATGCACCTGTAGCTGCGGAAAGAGTGCAGTATAGGAAAGCTGCTTGTAGTGTTGGCCAAGTTTCTTCTTACTAGGCTTCAGATTATTGAAGAATTTTCCCCTGCAGATAGGTCTAGTGACGCTAGTCCAAGTAGCCCAGAAGTTCTGCATCCAGCGCAACGTACTACTATACAGCAGAATTCGGGGCTGGGATATTGTCCCGCTATGCCGAGTCAGATCCATCTTGATGGAAAGATTGAGGTTCTCAGAACGGAAGGCCCGGTAGGAGTCATGAAGTTGGCCCAAGGGCACCTCAGGCAGGAACTCTGGGGCCCACAGAGTAACACTATGGTGATCATGGGGGTTCCCATGGCACAGCCACTGCAGGTCCAGTGTCATGCTGAGGTCAGGCAGGTGTAGGAAGCAGCAGTCATCATACTTAGAGGCTGTTCTCACGTTGACGTCCAAGTCACCCTTGAACACAAACTGACCAGGTTTCCAGTGAAATGACAGGTGGTTCCACTCCCAGTGCATATTTTCAGTTGTGTTGTATGGGTCCTCAGTAGCGAGCTGGTGCAGATTGGCCTGTTCAATGTCCATGTGCCAGTCTCCATGGAACAGAAGACGGCTCTTGTCCCACCAAGGCAAGGGTGGGCTAGGGTCAGCTGAGGGTTTGGTCAAGAGGTCCACAGATTGGCCAATCAGTGTCCAGGCTGGATCCCAGCATGGGCCCCAAATCACTGTATACTGGAAGATTTCCGAGCGGAAGTCATGGTAGAACTTGAGTGCGGGCATGTTCCTTTCCACTGCCACATTACCCCAGGGAAGCCCCAAGTGCAATATTTGACGCCGACGGGAACAAGGCTGACCGCTCTGCTCAGTGCCCACAAGCCGACCATTCAGTCTCCAGTCATGGATCTCAAACAGGTACCGGGGATAATCTCTTATCCGAACCAAAAATGTCTTGACATTGCACTTGATCATACGGCACCACTGAATAACAAGATCGATTCCTTCTGGAGGAAATGGGCTGACTGGATCAAGTTCTCGAACCTGCTCCAACACACGTTCAGGCCCATGGAAAGACGCGTCTGCCAAAGCCACCAGTTCTAACCCTGCCAGGCTCCAAGTGAGCAGTGCTCTGCGCATGGGCGTGTTGCCATAGAGACGACGGGAGCGCTGGATGTAGATTTCAATGTTTTTGTGTTCCAAAGAGGCATAAAGCTCTTCAATTTTGCGAGCTGGCAGTAACTCCCCATGCTGCTTTCTCAGGGCAGCTACGTGGTTTGGCGCATGCCTCAGGCAACCGCAAGCTAACGTCTGAGCTTGCAAAGCAGTGCAGAGATGCGATCAAGGAAGACCTCAAAGAGAGAAGAGCAGAAGTACTGGTAGATGCGGCAGAAGCCGGGAAAAGTATTCGTAAGGCCCGCCTGTCCTTCGCCAACTATAAGAGCAAGATGACTGCCCTCCGACGTCCTGATGGATCCATCACATCCTCCAGAACGGCAATGGAGAAGATTATCCATGACTTCTACTCAAATCTCTTCGATAGCCATGTCCACTTGCCAACATACCACTTGCCAACATACCATATTCCACATGATGGGTATGTTGTTCCCAACGTTCTCCCCTCCGAAATCCGACACGCCATTTCGTTGGTAAAGAAACAAACAGCACCCGGCCCAGACAAGGTCAGACCTGAACACCTGAAGAACCTGCCGTCAGTACTCATCAATACACTGGCTCGGCTCTTCACTCGCTACCTGTCTGAATGCAAGGTTCCGTCCCAATGGAAAACCAGCAGGACCGTACTACTGTTCAAGAAGGGAGACATCCATGACATTGGCAACTATCGCCCGATCTGCCTATTGTCTGTCATCTACAAGTTGTTCACTCGAGTCATCCTGAATAGGATTGGCAGAACACTAGATGAAGGACAACCATGCGAGCAAGCCGGGTTCCGCAAAGGATTCAGCACCATCGACCATATCCACACGACAACCAAGCTCATTGAGGTTTCTCGGGAGTTCAAGATGCTGCTCTGTTTAACGTTCATTGATTTAAAGAAGGCCTTTGATTCTGTTGAGACGGAAGCGGTCATTGAAGCCCTAGCCAATCAGGGCATTCAAGCCCAATACATCAGGATACTCCGTGATCTCTATTGCGGATTCACTACCAGGATCTCACCATTCTACAAAGAAGTGATCGTTGATGTCAAGAGAGGGGTGCGGCAGGGTGATACCATTTCACCGAAACTCTTCAGTGCCACCCTCAAGAACATCATGCGACGACTGGAATGGGAAGGAATGGGAGTGAAGATAGATGGTCGGCAATTACACCACCTCCGCTTTGCTGATGACATTGTTTTAATAACACCAAACATCAGCCAAGCGGCACAAATGCTGGCCGAATTTGACCGTGAGTGTGGAAAGGTAGGACTACAGCTGAATCTTACGAAGACAATGTTTATGAGAAACAGCCTTGTTCCTGACGCCCCATTCGCTCTCAATGGAACGACCATCTCCGAATGCAACAGCTATGTGTACCTAGGTCGAGAGGTCAACATGACAAATGACCTGGCACCCGAGCTGCGCAGGAGGAAGAGAGCGGCTTGGAACGCCTTCAAGAACGTCGAAGAAATAGCTAAGAGGACGAAGAACCTCCGGCTCCGGGCACATCTCTTTGATTCCACTGTTCTTCCTGCATTAACATATGCCTCAGAGACCTGGGCCCTACGCAAACAAGATGAGAACGCTATTCAGGTCTCACAAAGAAGAATAGAAAGAGCTATGCTTGGAATACCACGTTTCACTCAAATGAGAGAACGAATCCGGAGTTCTGACATCCATCGACGATCAAGGATCAGGGACGCTGTCTCATTTGCCAAGGTGTCGAAAATCAGATGGGCTGGTCACGTAATGAGATTTAAAGATGACCGTTGGACTAGAGCTGTTACTGATTGGATTCCACGGGATGTCAAAAGACGGCGTGGCCGCCCAGCTACCAGATGATCAGACTTCTTCGTCAAGATCATGAACGATCGGTTTGAGGCCCTTCATGTTCCCGGAGCGAACAGATGCCATTGGGCTACACTAGCACGCGACAGGGACAAATGGAGACGTTACTGGCGCCTGCTCGAGCAAATTGCCGACTAACGGGAAGTTAAGTGATAAGTGATGTTTTTATCAACATGATTTCATGGCATATGAACAATGGTTTCCACAAGAAAAAGAAAAAGTACTCTATAAAAATATCTCATATATTGACTCCATTTGAGAAAAGTTAAGAAACAAAAACAGTTCTAGTGGCTGGAGTGATAACACAGTGGACAGGGCCCTTGCCTTGCACAAGGCCAGCCCGAGTTCGATTCCCAGCATCTCAAATGGTCCCCCGAGTAATTCCTCAGTGCAGAGCCAGGAGTAACTCCTGTGCATCGCTGGGTGTGACACAGAAAGCAAAAACAAAAAAGCTGAAATTATAGTAGAAAATATTACAAACTATAAAGTATCAATTTCGAAGAATTTTGAAGCCATTTTTGTCTTTTAAAATCAGACAGGATTTCACTCAGCTACTTTACAGAACATAGAGAAAACTGATACTCTCTGAACACTGAAATCTGCTACTAACCAATTTAGTTATCTTTTTGAATATTAGCACTGTCTTTTCGTTGTTCATTGATTTGCTCAATGGGCACCAGTAATGTCTCTATTGTGATACAAATCTCTAGCATATTTAGGAGATGAAAGCCCTGCATCATAGACTACTACTAAGAACATGGTTCTGATTTGTTCCAGTTCTCAGATGATCGTGTGCTTTACTATTTATTCGTGGATAGTCTGAAGCCTATTGAATTGCTGGTTAGTTTCTCTGCATTGGTACGCTGGGGAGAATCTGGAGGTAAGAGAAAAGCAGGGTCCTACACTACTCCACATAAGTGCTCCTCTACCTGCTTATCTTCCTTCGCTGGTGTCGTACTAGTATTGGTTCAACTCACCACTCTGCCCAATCTGTGGTTGCATCAGAGCAGCTGATTTTAGTAGAGGAAACAAAACAAAACGAAAATCAAAAAAGACAAAATATACGACTTAGCCCCATTTTAATCTAAAAAATCACAAATTTTGAAAAGACTTTCCAAGTTCTGCTAACATATCCCCCCATTCATTCTCCCTCTCTCATTCTCATGGATGATTATTTCAACCTCTCTCTCACCCCCCTCTCTCTCTTTCTCTCTCTCTCTTTCTCATACACACACAGACACACATAGCATTATCACTCATTTTCAATTTATGTTTTCACTGAGGAGAGAGAAGAAAATAAAAAATAACTTGATTTCTCTTTCCATGATGAACTCTTTCAATCTAGTCAGCCATCCCCCTTCCTCTAAAGGATGGACTCTCCCTGGTCTTCTCTGAAGCCAGCCTTTGCACATACATGCACATATGCACAGAACGTTATTCTTTAATACTTTGACCTGTTGTATTAAAACATAAATTTCTCCCCTCAGTACCCAGCACAGATGATTTTAAAATAAATATTTGCTGAATGCTTATATTGACTATTAATTCAACTAAAAGGGCAGATAATGTTATTTTATACCATGATACACCCAATATTCATGTATAGCTTCAGGGAGTAAAAAATATGCAAAAAATTTCCAAACATCAGTGGAATCAGCTTGGTATGTCTACCTACCCAATAGCTCATAAGCTAGAGCATGTCATCAGTGTGACTTTATGCTTCAGGGAGTAAAAATATGCAAAAAATTTCCAAACATCAGTGGAATCAGTTTGGTATGTCTACCTACCCAATAGCTCATAAGCTAAAGCATGTCATCACGGTGTGACTTTATGGCCTCAGCCTGAGTGTTATATAAAAATAAGAGGGAAAAGGTATTTGTCCTCTACTACTAATGAGGAATAGTCCGTGTTATTTATTCATTTGAATGAAAGAACTTTATATGTTAAAAAATATGTTTTTTTGTTGTTGTTAATGAGGTATTAATGGGCCCGGAGCGATAGCACAGCGGTAGGGCGTTTGCCTTGCACGCAGCCAACATGGCCGACCCGAGTTCGATTCCTCCGCCCCTCTCGGAGAGCCCGGCAAGCTACCGAGAATATCTCGCCCACATGGCAGAGCCTGGCAAGCTCCCCGTGACGTATTCGATATGCCAGACACAGTAACAACAAAGTCTCCAACGGAGACATTACTGGGCCCGCTCAAGCAAATCGATGATCAACGGGAGGGCCTTATTAATGAGGTATTATTTCTATCCACAGTCAGTGCTATAAGTTAAAGGTAAAATGACATCCATGGGGTTTATATGTATTATCATTCATGTGGGAACATCTCTTATTTTCTCAGATGAGGGGATTTTATTCTTTGAAATTACATCTAGAATGATTTTGTAGCTGTTACTATAGATGATTAAAGTGATGATGTGCCACATACAATAAACCCATTTCTCCTCCTCTCCCTAATTTCCTCATCCCTCACTACTTCATATGAGAGGTAGGTTATAAGAGGAAATTAAGACACCAGAGACAGTCTAGATTCCATTTGAGTAATTATTGACCCAGAATAACTTCCAATATTTTTGAACAATTTTAGGCTGTCTTTAATTCCTGTCTTTAATTTCATTTGTGTTATCATTTTTTCTATTATTAATACTGATATTGGATAAAACAACAATGCCATTGATATTAATATTTTCACAATCAGATTTTATTATTTATTTATATTTTACTTTTCCTAAAGCTTTAAGTAAAGACAGTCCCCTCCCTGAGCCTGGAATACTCACGGCTGAATCAGTTAATTGGAAATCTCTAAAACCAGGCAACCTTGTTCTGAAGATCCACACATATGCGACCAAAGCTGCTATGATTCGTCTGCCTCCTGGGTATGAAGTGATTTTATTTTCCCTTACTAGAAATTATTGAAGACTTATGAACTATTGGCTGTTAAATAATGAAATTATATGGCACCTAAAATAATTTTCACTGACACAAAGCCACAGCTAGAAGTGTTCAGGAACCATTCCTGTCTCTGTGCTCAGGACTGATCCCCAGCATTGCTTAGGGTATCATATGTGATGCAAAATATCAAACAGGGGTCAGCCACATGCAGACCAAGTGCCTTAACCCCTATACTATATCTCTAATCCTCTTCGCTTAAGAATGGTAATTCCATTAAAAAAATAGAGGATGTGCTGTATACTGAACTTTTGGAGATAGTGACTGACAAATCGTGTATTAATTTATTTAATAAAAACGTGGTTTCACCTTCGGCTGGAGTGATAGCACAACGGGTAGAACATTTGCCTTGCATGCGGCTGACATGGCCGACCTGAGTTTGATTCCTTCGCCCTTCTCGGAGAGCCTAGCAAGCTATCAAGAGTATCTTGCCTGCATGGCAAAGCCTGGCAAGCTCCCTGTGACATATTCAATATGCCAAACACAGTAACAAGTCTCACAATGTTACTGGGTCCGCTCGAGCAAATCTATAAACAACGGGAGGACAGTGACAGTGATGGTTTCACCTCAAATTTTATAAAAACTAATCTGTTAAAAATCACTTTTGGCAGTAAATATTACTCTATTACTTAGCAAGAAGCTTGAGTTCTTTAAAATCAACTTGAGATGCATGGCATTTCACCTCCTAATCTAGACTTTTTCCTATAATGTTTCATTGAATTTTAAAAATAAAATTTGTTAAGCATATTAACAGATACGGACTACAACAGTGACCTAAGAAGTCTCGCTTGGGGCTGTGTGTGGGGGTGGTTTGGGATAAAGATAGGCTCACGATGGTAATGGTGTGTCAGTACTGCAAGCACAAAGTGATATCAGTATCAATAGTGCAAACTGTGATCCTTCCAGATCCAACAATTTGGAAAACACAGTATATAACTGAGAAGTTTACTTGATACAAGTATGTTCAAGATACTCAGATGAAATAAATACTAATGCCACATTTCTCAAAAATCTTGCTAACTCTGTATGACCAGAAGGAAGTTCTGATTTCTTTCACGGAAAGGGAAGCTTAAGCAACAAATGAAAATGCTTGAATAAGTCCATCCAAACCTACCTGTGGAAAGGAGGGGCCTGCAAGGTGCTTGGCGTGATGTCAGGGCTGGCTTTTGGACCCAGGTGAGCCATTCTCATCTACAACATCATCTAAACCTGCCCACAGCTAAGCATTTCTTCACCACTCCACAACTCATCATAAACATACAAAGACATCCCAACATAAGTTCTTAACCACACAAAAAATGCAAGAAACAACTCCAAACAGCAAAGGTCACATTAATGTTAATGTAACACAGAGACTTGGTGAAGAAGGTAGCCCAGTTAATCCACCCAGTAATGATGAGCTATATAACTTCTGTGATAGAAATTTAGAATGAGACTATTAAGGATGCATAAGAAGCTCAAAGAAACAATGGAACATACACCCAATAATAAAATACAGAAGGATATGAGAGCAGAAATGAGAAAAATACAAAATGAAAATCCAAGCAGAAATGGCAGATCTGAAGGAACTGGTAAGTGAGATGAAAAACTCACTTGAAGGCCTCAGCAGCAGAGTAACAGCGGCTGAGGACAGAATGAGAGAGCTCTAAGAGGAGGTGCAGACAATTTCCAGGAAGCAGCAGAACATGGAAAATAGCCTCAAAATAAATGAATAGATGACAAGAAAACATTGGGATGAAGTCAAATGGGACTTGATAAGAATCTTTGGGTTATCCAGTGACCAAAATACAAAGACAGTCTACAGAATGGGAAAGGATATTCGCCGAATACACATTTGACAAGGGGTTGATATCAAGGATATATAAAGTACTGGCTGAACTCCACAAGAAGAAAACATCCAACCCCATTTAAAAAATGGGGCAATGAAATAAACAGAAACTTTCTCAAAGAAGAAATCCGAATGGCAAAAAGGAACATGAAAAATGCTCTACATCGCTAATCATCAGGGAGATGCAGATCAAAACCACCATAAGATACCATCTCACACCTCAGAAACCGGCCCACATCCAAAAGAACAAAAGCAACTGGTGTTGGTGTGGATGTGGTGAGGAAAGGACCCTCCTTCACTGCTGGTGGGAATGCTGACTGGTTCAGCCCTTTTAGAAAACAGTATGGACGATTCTCAAAAAATTAGAAATTGATCTCCCATTTGACCCAGTAATACCACTCCTGGGAATATATCCCAGAGAGAAAAAAATATATAGTCGAAGTGACATCTGCAATTGTTTGTTCATTGCAGCATTCTTTACAATAGCCAGAATCTGGAAAAAACCTGAGTGCCCAAGAACAGATGACTGGTTAAAGAAACTTTGGTACATCTACACAAAGTCAAGTTGATCACTTGACTTCCCGTTAATCATTGAGTTGCTCAAGTGGGTGCCAGTAACTTCTCCATTTGTCCCTGTCACGTGCTAGTGTAGCCCAATGGTGTCTGTTCACTCTAGGAACACGAATAGCCTCAAAACCGATCGTTCATGATCTTGATGAAGAAGTGTGACCATCTGGAAGGTGGGCGGCCACGCCGTCTTTTGACATCCCATGGAATCCAGTCGGTAACAGCTCTAGTCCAGCAGTCATCTTTAAATCTCATTACGTGACCAGCCCATCTGATTTTTGATACCTTGGCAAACGAGACAGTGGCCCTGATTCTTGATCATAGACGGATGTCGGAACTCCGGATTCTTTCTCTCATTTGAGTGAAATGTGATATTCCAAGCATAGCTATTTCAATTCCTCTTTGGGAGACCCGAATAGCATCCTCTTTGCGTAGGGACCAGGTCTCTGAGGTGTATGTTAATGAAGGAAGAACAGTGGAATCAAAGAGATGTGCCCACGCTGGAGGTTCTTCGTCCTCTTAACTATTTCTTCGACGCTCTTGAAGATGTACCAAGCCGCCCTCTCCCTCCTGAGCAGCTCGGGTGCCAGGTCATTTGTCATGTTGAATTCTCGACCTAGGTACACATAGCTGTTGCATTCGGAGATGGTCATTCCATTGAGAATGAAAGGGGCGTCAGGAACAAGGCAGTTTCTCACAAACATTTTCTTCGTAAGATTCAGCTGTAGTCCGACCTTTCCACACTCACGGTCGAAGTCAGCCAGCATTTTTGCAGCTTGGCTAATGTTTGGTGTTATTAAAACAATGTCATCAGCAAAGCGGAGGTGGTGTAGTTGCCGACCATCTATCTTCACTCCCATTCCTTCCCATTCCAGTCGTCGCATGATGTACTCGAGGGTGGCACTGAAGAGTTTTGGTGAAATGATACCACCCTGACGAACCCCTCTCTTGACATCAATGATTGTTTCTTTGTAGAATGATGAGATCTTGGTAGTGAATCCGTAATACAGCTCACGAGGATCTTGATGTATTGAGATTGAATGCCCTGATTGGCTACGGCTTCAATGACAGCTTCATCTCAACAGAATCAAAGGCCTTCTTGAAATCAATGAACGTTAGACAGAGTGGCATCTTGAACTCCCGAGAAACCTCAATGAGCTTGGTTATCGTGTGGATATGGTCAACGTTGCTGAATCCATTGTGGAGCCCGGCTTGCTCGCATGGTTGTCCTTCATCTAGTGTTCTGCCAATCCTATTTAGGATGACTTGAGTGAACAACTTGTAGACAACAGATAATAGGCAGATTGGGCGATAGTTGCCAATGTCATGGATGTCTACCTTCTTGAACAGTAGTACAGTCCTGCTGGTTTTCCACTGGGACGGAAACTTGCATTTAGACAGGTAGCGTGTGAAGAGCCGAGCCAGCGTATTGATGAGTACTGATGGCAGGTTCTTCAGGTGTTCAGGTCTGACCTTGTCTGGGCCGGGTGCTGTTCGTTTCTTTACTGACGAAATGGCGTGTTGGATTTCGGAAGGGAAAACATTGGGAACGACATATCCATCCTGTGGAATTTGGTATGTCGGCAAGTGGACATGGCTATCGAAGAGATTTGAGTAGAAGTCATGGATAATCTTCTCCATTGCTGTTCTGGAGGATGTGATAGATCCATCAGGATGCCGGAGGGCAGTCATCTTGGTCTTGTAGTTGGCGAAGGACAGGCAGGTTTTACGAATACTTTTCCCGGCTTCTGCCACATCTACCAGCACTTCTGCTCTTCTCTCTTTGAGGTCTTCCTTGATCGCATCTCTGCACTGCTTTGCAAGCTCGGACGTTTGCTTGCAGTTGCCTGAGTCATGTGCCAAACCATGTTGGCAAAAAAGCTCAAGAGTTTTTGAAGACAGTCATTTTTTTGTGGCTATCTCTCTCTTGGTGTTCCTCGCACAATCATGGGGGTGCTGAACCAGTTGATCGTATTCCTCGTCAATGTTGTCAACAATGGCATCTTGCCATGTTGCCACAATAGTTCCAAAGAGCTCCCAGTTGGTGGTCGTTCTCGGAGTTCTCTTTTTAAACTTTTTGGAATTTTGGGACAACAGTGACATCGGCCAAGCAAAACCGTCAATTGAATATGATGTGGTTTATTTCGTTTTGGAATCGTCCATCGGGAGACTCCCATGTCCAACGTTTGGATTCGGCCTTCTGGAACTGTGAGTTACCATGGATGGTCTTGGTCGACATGATGAACTCAGACAGTCTCTCACCCTGTTCATTCCTTTCTAGTCCATGGGTCCCAATGTGAAATTCTTCGGCTGATCTTCTTGGTCCTATCTTGGCATTAAAATCACCAACAATGATCTTGTAGAAGGTGTGATCTTCTTTATAGAACTTCTCCAGCTCCATGTAGAACTTCTCAATTTCTCCTTTATCATAATTAGATGTTGGTGCGTAGACAACGAAGATAGAAACTGCTGGCAGTGAGCCATATCTATTCAAATGTAAACGTCCGATTTGGGTTGTTAGGCATTCGAATA